ACCCTGATACATTCTGTATATGTTTATTTTTAGTGTCAGTGGTGTTGATTATTTTGGGTGCCTTTGCAGGCTTAATAAAGGTTTTATATGCTGAAACACAAAAAGTAAAAATGATTAAAAATAGAAACACACCCATCCATAATCTTTACCTGCTTCTGCCTTTTTAAGTCACAGGGGGGTCACTGGTGCTGAAAAGAAAAATGTCAAACTGAATTCAAATATAAAAAAACATAAGTTCAAAATTTATAAAACTGAAGATTTAGGTAATGTTAATTACATAAATTTATGTTAATTTGAGATGAATTGCAAAAACAGGGTTGTCTTAAAACTCATTCAAATCACTTTTTGAAAATGTATTTTATGGACAAGAAAAGACTGCTAGATCAACTATTAAGTCTAAATGCCTAATTTATCAAAGCCCTAATGTGTGATGTTTTTTTTTTTGTTTTGTTATTGTATTAACTAGTTTTGTGCAGAACACGATCTGAATGCAGTAATTTCTTTCAGCTGTGTTCAATAATGACACGGACAATTTCAAAGTGAGTTTGTTAAATTATAAATGACATTTATTGAACAAATCGGAGTGAAAATAGAGCAAGCCTTGAAGAAATCTGTCACTCTTTAAAAGAGTCGATTTAGAAGTGTGGTTTTTTTTTTGGTCACAAAACAATGAAATAAGTTTAAAAAATAATTTGTTCCCCAAAGATTAGAAGTATTTTTTCTTGTTGCTGCTTGATATTTGTTATAAACTTTGGACTTGAAACTCTGCAATTCTTACAAAAACTAGAACTTTAGTCAAGAACTGTATGAAGCATACGGGTCACCAAYAACAAAACAGGAAATGGAAGTATTCAAAATAACGAGGCAAGTCTCTTTGGTATATTTACATGAATTTGCCAAAAGCTGAAACATCCTGCTGTGTTAAAAGGTGAGGTAAACAAAGTGATTAAAAGYAACAACTTCCTCCAGGCCATACAGGAAATCCTCACTAAACATTCCCAGAGGATAAACATGCAGGATCTGCTCCAATTTCAACACTCAAGCAGCACGTGATCAGTGTTAGAAAAAAAAAGAACAGTCTGTGAGAAAAAGGTTCTGCCTCCCTGAGAACATAGAGCCTGCAGAGACTGTTCTGCTGCATGAATAATCCCAATTGTCACAATATTCATCTTGTTTCAGACGTGTTCAAAAAAAATCCACACAAACACAAGATATCTTTTTTAACTTTAAAAAAAATGTCTTTTGAGTGATGACCACAAACTTCTGGAGGGTTTTCCTTTAACAACAAAAACACTTTAATATAAAACAGTAATAAACATACAGTTTTAGATTTATTCTTTGAATCCCACTTGTGTCCACTTTTTTTCTTTTCTTAGCTTCACATTTGTAAAACATATAAAACAGACTGGGTTATGACAGTTCAGTTTAGTTTGCCACAGGATTCGAATCAAAACTTATAAAATTTACAATATAAAATGCTCTCTCACTCTTAGCGTGCACATTGAACAATACAAGTCAACTAATATTAGCCAGCTATTAGCTGCCCAGATACCTTTTAAAACTGTACAGTCAACAAAAAGGCAATAAAAACAGTAAAAAATTATAAAAAAAAAGAGAATATATCAAAATTTGAGCAACTAGCAAACATTTCATAAAATGTAAAGCTGGGATCTGTAAATAATGTACTTAGCTTATGAAAATTAATGCCAAAAATAATAGAAAAGAAGTGATTGACCGTTTAGTGTGAGACGTTTTCTGAACAGYTTTGAGGTAATTTCAATGATTTCTGTGTGCTGATGCTCACACTCGAGAAATAATCAGCTAAAAACAAGTGGTAATCTGCAGGTGAGCACATGCAAACAGGAAAACTACATGAGCATCACATATAGAATATCACGTTCACCTTTCAGAACGTGTTAAAATCACATGTAAAACACATGTTTTAGTCATGTCTCATGTGGAATTTTTGTAACATTTTCATCAGGTTCATACGGTCACGTAAAAAATACACATATGGTTTTTCTGTAAGGGTTTGAACAAAGTTGACTGTTTCCCCCTGCTGCTTGTCTATATAAAATAATTCATYATTATCTGCAGTCAGACATGAATTTAATCCTAACTGCAGTGACAAAAACAAACAGACAAACTAAACAGATACATTTTCCAAAAATGATAAATACACATTTATTGACATGTAAGTACTTCCACCAATGTGTCAGAATACCTGGGTGAATGCATACTTATAGGTATTTATTATTGCATATAAACACACTCTGTATGTCCGAAATTATTATTATTTGATTCTTTAAAAAAACAATTAAAAATGACTCCAGTTCCCTTATGTTTGCACCCTTCTGAAAGCCATAACCTGAATGATTGAGAATCTACACCAATATGTTTGCGAATATTTTCAAATCGCACACTAAAAAAATAAAAAAATTAAAAAATGATAAAAAAAAAAGTCTTTTTCGGTTTTTTTTTTTGTTTTTTTTTACAAAGTTTCTGTGTCAGCAAGGCAGGTGTGTTGGGGGGTGTAAGTTCTCTTGGGAAGTTCTGGTCCGTAGCGAGCTCATCCTGAGCACAGTGAGCTCAGCCACATCTGCATCCTGCATCTCCACTTCTTGCTGGCAGGTTTCTCTGATTACATACACTACCAGACCCATACAGATGAAAATAAGGAGAATTATTCCTATTACCTGGACACAGAACAGGAAAGTTAGCCAACACCAAAGACAAATAAGCCCAGTGTAGTGGGGCTGGGGGGGGATGCTTCAACTTTACAAAATTCTCTGCAACATGGAGGATGGCCCTCACCTGAGAAAACACAAACAGCTGCTGAGAACGGAGCATTAGTTCTTGCAGGGTGGCATCTTCCTCTCGAATTGGCTCGCACCACTTCTGTGGAGCTGCCTTGTCAACTAGTACAAACCTTCCCTCCCAGTCTGTCATGGCACAAGCAAAGTACTGGCCGTCGAGGAACAGCAAAATGAGCCACACGATCGCGGGAACGACGCTGGAGAGGGACACGGTTTTCTTGCACCACGTGTTGCACCTGCATCCCTGAATGATCAGCATCAAGGTGAAGGCCATGACGGCAGGGATGACGAAGAATGCCGAGGAAAACACTCCGTTCCACGTAGGGCTGCAGGGACACTCGAACTCCAGCTCCACCAGCTTCTCCAGTCCCATCAGGATGAAACCGAACGCCACGTTGGACACCAGAGGACTGTTGCTAAGTTCATTTTTCAGCCTGGCGAGCCATTGTTGTCTACTTTCCATACTAGACTGACCGACGAATGAGGACGAGCGCAGCAAAAAGCCCAGAAGAGGGTCCACCGTTGTGGACAGCAGCTTAGTGATGCGTAAGTAACGCATCCAGGGGTAAGTTTTACCCTCGGGCCAAACGCTACACGTCCGCTCGGATTGGTTCGGAACAAAGAAGGGTGTGCCGACTGCTCGGAGCTTTCGCCGTCTCATTGGTCTCTGTGAGAATTCAGGTGGGGTCACGTTTGAAATGTGGTCGTCCATGGATAAACTGGAGGAAGGGCTTGTAAAGTGGAGGGAAGTTTGTTCTGCTATTCAGCACTGACATCCCCTTTGACATGCCCTCAGTTACCAAACGACAAGACTTTATGCTGAACAGTCAGGATGYAGTCCTAAATTTAACCTAAAACTGAAGAACAAATGTAGACGTTAGAACTAAATCTATGTATAACTACAAAAAATGTGTTGTATGATAAATCTACAAGACAGTTTATAAAATACCAAGTAAATCACCTTAATTCTAGTTAGGGTACAAATACATACACTTAAAACCCTTTAGATTCTATTTGGTTTTTGTTGTGATTTAGTCAGTTTTTATGCCGCACACCTTTCTAAGAAGACATGTCAATTATACATCAAAATGGGAGGCTTGATTAGAAATATTGTACTAACTATACAACAAAATTCACAAAACACTGCGATACATACAGACAACAAGGGGATTTTGACGAAGCGTGAGGAAAGCCAGTGCTGTTTGGAGATCTATAGCTCATGCTTCAAAGGATGACTTAAATTTTAAAAAAGTTAAAAACGTTGGCCTTTGCATCACTGAACAGGTATTTTCATATCAACTTAGCACAAAAAAAAAAAATAAAGACATTTGTGTTTGGTAGATTGTTTCTTTGTTGTAACAATGTTTCTTGGCAATAAATCTTATGATTGGCAGAACATGGAGGTACCAGAAGCTCAAAACAAGTGTCAATAGTCACAGCAATTACAATGTTTGTTGTTATGTGTTTGTAACCAGACAGAAAATACACTGATGCATGAATGTTTGAATGTGATAAAAGACGGCCAAAACTGGAACTGAAAGGTCTTTTAAACATGGCATTTCACCTGCTCTACATAGAAATGTGTATAACCAACGGAGGCAGGTGTTGTCTCTGTTCATTGACACATAAGGTGAGATGAGACCCATGCTGGCATTTTGTCCCCACATGAGGTCGCTGGAGCAGCAGCACAGATTAAGGACAGACGAGGATTACAGGAGGCCATGTTGAACTTTTCAAGGGGGGTGGATATGCAGCCTGAGAGCACCCAGGCCACTGATGACATCATTTATAAATGACCTCACTGAGCTCAAGAACGTCACTGTAAGTCCCTCACACACAAAATAGCCTTCACTTAAAAAGTAGCTTCAAACAGACAAATATGCCTCTTGTCCAAAGAAAAGTGCAAGTGTGGATTTTTTTTTCTTTTGACCTTTTAATTTGAGCTTCTTCTTTTGTTTCAGATTTTCGTGACAAATCTGCTGTTCAGTGAAAAGAAACATGAAGACTGTGTAAAGAAGAGCATCATTAAATGTCACGCTGTGCTTTTTGTCATCATCCAAATGATGAGTTCACGATCATTTACATACGTGAGCATGTGTGAGCGTGCGCGCACCGTGTGTGAGAGAGTGTTCACGGTCATGAGCGCGCTGGGCACGCGCAGCCCCCCCAGTCGGTTCCCTCACCAGCATCTGTTCCTCCCTTTGCTGTTAAACACAGACCGGTGCTGATAACACATTTATGTTTTCTGGGCTTCATCATCACTTGCCGTCGGGGATCGTCCGCGCGCGTGCACGCTGTACCTACTTTTATTATTTTTTTTTTTCTTTTTTAATCACCGACCCGCCGTGTGGAGGCGCAAATGCGCATCGGCGTGCGCATCTTTGAATCCTCTGGAACCTCCTCGCCGTGGACAGCCTCCCTGACATCCGAGAGACATCCTTGTCAGCTGCACATCCCGACCAGGCTGCTCGCCTGGACGCAAATCGGCTTCCCTGAGCCGCTGGCCCCGGACCTTTCACCCAGAGAAGGTCTTTTTTATTTTTTATTTATTTATTTTTTGAAATCAGGGAGGACATTTCCACGGACGTTTTTTTTTCTAACCATCTGGGTTTTTTTTTTTTTAATTATTCTTATTTTGTTATTTGAAGAGCCTCCCGGTGCAATGCTGGGCCCATCTCACTAGATCTCGTGATCAACAGCCTTACACGGTCTCTCCTCCCACATTCGTCCGCCCCTGACACCCCTGCTCCTTCTCGTCGAGCCCTAACGATGCGTCCTCACGCCCTGATGCTGGCGGTGGTCCTCCTGGGGAACTTGACGCTGCCCCCCGCCTCGGCTCAGAACGGTAAGGACACAGAYGCGACCGCGGTTCGACATGGCACTTGTTTCTGGCTGAGGGGAAGGGAMCTCGCGTCGTGTCTAAAGAGGATTTGGGAGAGAGGAGGACTGCGTTAAGCCACCGCTCAGGGCCAGAGAGTTCCTGTTTTGGTTGGGATCGTTCAGTGTGCAGGGAGGGGGACATCATTTGTAGGTGTGCCTGGCTGAAGGGTTACTCACTTTGAGGCAGGTGTTCAGAAACACATCCCCTCCCCACCTGTGAATGTCTCAAACAGGTTTGGATAGGATAAAATAAGCTAAGCTGTGGTTCAGAAAGTAACATCAGGTGAAGGACAGCATCTCTCAGTGGACCCATCCTGCTCAGCTGGTTCTGTGTACAGAACTGCAGTTACAGAATACATGTAGGTTTGAGGTGGGGGTTTCTTTTTTCTTCAGAATAAAAAACGTTTGGATGACAGGAGAGTCAGAGAGGTAACCACCACTGACAGTTATTCCAAGTGAAGCTGGCAGGATTTAGTTTGAGGAAGTGTCATCAGCATGCTGTTGGGTGTTCAAGGCCTTCTGTATGGAGAGCCGTTGGGGCCATAAATCGGGCGTATATTTACGTGCAAATCCGAACGCGCGGTGCCGTAAATAACGTGCGAACGCGCGGTGCCGTAAATAACGTGCGAACACGCGGTGGCATTGAATAACGTGCGGTGGCATTTTCTACCCTAACCCTAACCCAAACCCCAACCCTAACCCACCGYGCGTTTGCACGTTATTTACGGCAACGCACGTGGGGTCACCGCGCGTTCGGATTTGCACGTAAATATACGCCCGATTTATGGCCCCAACGGCTTGCCATACTTCTGATACAACATGCTCCGACTTGGATGGTTCTGTTGAATCACACGACCCGCTGGGCTATTCCAAATCCGTAACCATTCACGAAGAAAAAAAATAAAAAAAAATAATAATAATCTTTGAGGTGTTTAAGAGAATCTTTTGGTTAAGTGTTAACATAGCTCTCATTAATGAAACACGGCATCAATTTGATATACTTTTTTTTTTTAAAAATAATACAAAAGAAACAAGTCAAATAACTACTATGCCTTGATTTGTCTTACTAATCAGGATCATTTTTGATGTAATTTTAAATTAAATATAGATATTATGATTTATCAGCTGAAAATAAAAAAAAAAAGAAGCTTTGCTAGCTCGCCAAAATAAAATGACAAAAATGTAAGGGTTTTATGCTCAAAATACAATTTTTGGAGCTACTGCTAAAAAAAAATTCTTCAAGATTATATTTCAGATATTTAATTTAAACAACTCACAAATAAGGTATTTAGTCATTATATTTCGACAAAATGCAATTGCTGGAAATGTTTTAACCAAAGCACCTTAGCTGCCTGTTTCTCCAGACACCACTTTAAGACTTAATTCTCGGTTCGAAGTGATGGGTCACACATTTCTTTTAGATCTACAAGTTTCTCTAAGGGTTGTTAAATATACATTTGTTTGTTCTATTTTTTATTTAAAACCATTAAAAAAACAAAGTAAACAAATGTTAGATATTAGCATTGGCTTTAAAAAACTCACCTTTTAACATACACGTTTTTGTTGAAAAGCTGAAAAGATTGGGGAAGACTTAATTTTAATGTAATCAACAAAATGCCACAACAGTTTGTACGACATTTTTTTAGAACTGTCATAAAAACAAACAAAAACACAAACAACAACAAAAATAAATAAGATGAAGAAGCAAAAAAAGTAGTAACCTCCATCCTCTGCATCTCCCACAACAACAACAAAAAATTGCACAGCTGTTATATAACAAAAAATATCAGCACTTGGAAGTTGTTTCCGCCTTCGCTGATAATTTCTCTGAAGTGTTTGAAGTGCGGGCGCTCATACTGAGGCGCTCTCTCATCTGGCTATCTGGGAAATAAATACCCAATAAGCGCTCCATTGTTTGATCGAGCTAAAAAACAAAAAGGCTTTCCGAAACACTTCCTCCCATCTTGTTCCAGTGTTGGTGCCCACTCACTGAGAAACAGTTCACACCACAGCAACGCACACGCACGCACACACACACATACACACAGATAAACACATCAAGTGGTCAGTAAGAGGCAGTTTGGGGGTTCCCGATCATAACAATCTGTCAGTGTTTCATCTGTAATGAAGAGAAGCATTTCATGTTCATTAAACACACCCTTCAGATTTGGCATCTTGGATAAGAACAGTAATAAACTGCAGTTAGTGTTTAGATCCAAAAGTAATTTTCTAGTAATTGTTCAGACCGAATGCCAAAGCATTTCATTTCTCTCTCTCTCTCTTTCTCTCTGTCTCTCTCTCACWCACAGATCAGATTAAATCGCTGCATGGCTTCTTATGCAATGCAAGATGCTTCCTGTGATATGGCAGTGATGTGGGGACAACAATAATTATAATTGCATGAGATTTAATCATTGTGTCTGGGAAGCAAAAGGGGAATTTGTGTCAGTGCTTTCATGTTTAGAGGAAAAAGCAGGTCGACTATAGGTGGACAGGATGTGCGACAGATACAGGGAGGACTGCGAATTGCATCCGTCCTTTCTGCAGCATTTCTATTTTTACCACAAGAGTCGGAGTGCTGAGAACTGTGGCTTTAAGGTCCTTTTGTGAAAGTGAATCCATTAACTCTTAATGGACGGCCTCCCGGTTTACGGCTGCACGGGCCTCTTGAAGACTCACCGGGCAGCTGTGAACTATTTAAGATGGGGAAATAATGCTATCCTTTTCCTCAAGACCAAAACAAATGCTATTGAAAGTAGCAGTTCCGACCTGTAGACGTACGTTTGGGTCTTATATAATTTCTCCCAGCGAAGCGTGCAGCCCTAGTCCTGCCTGCTTTTATGTTGGCGCTCGCATTTGTAAAAATTTACACACGCGTGTCACATTCGTTTTCACAGATTTATATTCCCATTTTATTACGAACAGAAACCGTTAAAGGGGTTAAACTAAAACGATGCAGAGGAAGCTCTGTGGTTTTAGGGTTGCAACATTGGTGAACGCGTACTGCAGAACATTTGACTGACATCAACTGACAAACTGGAAATAAAACAAGGTGACACATCCTTCTTGTCAGCACACCAATCAGAGTCAGTCAGGACACAGTTGTCACACAGCAAAGCTGATAATAAAATATCTCTGTAGGTGCACTGCATGGTGCATTTTAACTGGCTATAAATGGTGATTTGTTCCTAACAGTGTAAAAAATAAATCAATAAAAAGTCAAGGAAAGAATGAGGAAGAATCTGAAACATTCTGAAAATGCATCATGTGCTGTATCATGTTCCAATGAAAAGCAAGGCAAAAAAATAGCTGTCTTATTATAACTTACAATGGAGAATTAGGGCCAGACTACAAGAATTATTCTTTTTTTATTTACAAGAATAAAGTCAAAATATTATGAGAATAAAGTCAAAATATTATGAGAATAAAGTCAAAATGTTACAAGAATAAAGTCAAAATATTACGAGAATAAAGTCAAAATATTACGAGAATAAAGTCAAAATATTACAAGAATAAAGTCAAAATATTACAAGAATAAAGTCAAAATATTACGAGAATAAAGTCAAATTACGAGATTAAAGTCATAATATTACAAGAATAAAGTCAAAATATTACAAGAATAAAGTCAAAATATTACAAGAATAAAGTCAAAATATTACAAGAATAAAGTCAAAATATTACTGGAATAAATTCATAATWTTATAATAAAGTCAAATGTTATTGGAATAAAATTATTATTTTATGAGAATAAAGTCAAAATGTTACCAAAATAAAATCAATATTATGAAAACTTCTACATGAAAAAGCAGTCTTTCCACTGTGTTAAAATGAGTAATGTGAGGTGTCCTGTGAAGTTATACTGTGATATTGGTTTTACAAATAATGAAATACTCAATCTTTTAACACATCAGCATCAAATTATTATTTATAGCAGGACTCTGAATTGAGTGTGCAAATGACATTATTCTTGTAATATGATTTTATTCTCGTACCACTTTTTTCTTGTAATATGACTTTATTCTTCTAATAAAAAAATCTCAGTCTGGCACTAATGTACTAGTGTACCTTGATTTCCTTTTACAGACAAACTACTGTCCCAACAATATTGGAAATTTGTACTTTGATGTAACAGTAAATTTACCTCTCTTCCTGTTTGTCCACCTGTTTCTCAGCTGGTAGTCTGTCACCAGTGGACTTTCATATAGAGCGGGTAAAATAAGTATTGAACACGTCACCATTTTTCTCAGTAAATACATTACTAGAGGTGCTAATGACATGAAATTTTCACCAGATGTCGGTAACAACCCAAGTGATCCATACATACAAAGAAATCAAAACATAAATGTCCAGAAATGAAGTTATAAGATTTACAGATTGGGGTCAACGTGAGCAGTACCAGAG